TTTTCAAATAGATTGGAAAAGTTTAAGATAAGGTATTATCTTAAACATGCTAAATATAGTTTTTGAATAAAAAATTTAAAAAATTTAATGACATACCTACTAAATAATTATCATTTGTTGTTTCCCTATCTATAATATTTGGAGTATTTACAAAAATTGAATCCAAAATAATGGATAGAACTGTCATAGGATGTGACTTCGTACAATAAATATTACACAGTGGACAAAATTGGATGTAATTAATTGGATTCAACTATTAAAAAAGAAATATAGAAGTCACAAAGATGCGCTCCAACATCCTAGAAGATCAATTCAACACTGTCGGAGTCTATAAATGTATTTCTACTTGGCAATATCCACCCATGAATCACTCGAACAACAGTACATCAACCCTTTTTTGTTGTGTTGATGGTACAAATTATGTGAAATTCATATGTAAAAGTCATGAATTATATGAATAATAGTTAAGAGGACAATAAACTGAATGCAGTTACAAGAGTGAATTAGATGTTGAATTGTGAAGTGTGATATTAGCATAGCCTAATAATTTATAAATAAATAAAGTTGAATTGGGAGGAAAAATGAAAGGGTGATTTTTTAAAATCATAATGATAGATATTAATTATTAATTTTTGTGTCTATAGATATTTAAAGTGATCCAAATTAATTTGAATTTGAAAATAAATCAATTATCACTTACTATCATATATATTTTATAAATCATAAACGAAATTAATAATTTTAAACCATGCAATACTAAATATCTATATCAACCTACTAAACTTAATGTTTTTAAACATAAACCATTGATGATATACATTTTCGTAAATAAAAAATATGAACTTTACTATTTTTAAACCCATAATCATATATTAAATATTTAGACAAATATATATTAACTTGACTTCAAATAAATAGATATAAATTTTCTAAAATCATGAAAATCGATCTAAATATTCAAACACAATTTTTTTTCTAAATATTTAAATAGATATATACTAATTTGAATTTGAATTTAAATAGATAAACACACACACAATCATATGAAAACTTAATTTTTAGCAAATATTTAATAATATAGATGGAAATTTTTGAAAATCATGATGACACATGGAAAATTTTAAACAATGGTTATTTTTTCTAAATTTTTAAATGGAAAGATATTAATTTGAATTCAAGCATGATCATGTTTGAATTTCAAACATGTAAAATGTAATTTTATATATATACATATATACATATATTTAAAAATTAATAATTCATCTTGCACCTAACTTTAAATTTGAATAATATATTTCATATGTATTAAAAATAATAAATCATTCCAAACCTGACTTCAAAGTATAAAATTATAGAAAAGACGTTCTGAAGTATAAAATTATAATAAATATAAAAACAAATACGTAACATTTTTTTGTAACTTTTAATCTTACTTTTATATATATATATATATATATTATATATAATATGACATAAAGCTAGGGCTTATTACATCACTTTGCGCAGTTTGAGCCAACATTCCTAATTGAGTATTTTGTAACATCCTGATTTTTATATAATAAAAAAATTATGGAATTTAGGTTTTGAGGAAAAAAAATGATAATAATAGGAATTTATATTATTTGAGATTATTTATAAATAATATTATGGTTAGGTATTTAATTATGAATTTAAAAATTTAAATTTAAAACCACATAAGCAATATTTAGTTAAGATATAATACATAAATAATTTTTTTTTTGTGTGTTAAAAAAAAGAGAGAGAGAAGGTAGAAGGAACAAAAAAAAAGGGGTGGAAGGTTGTTGTTTCTAAATCCCACATTGGTTAGATGAGGGAAGAGAAAAGGTGCCTTCATGTATAAAAAGGAGGGGGTGTGTGCATTAGGAAGCATGAGAGGCTAAGATGCAATTTAGAGAAAATTACAACTTATGGCCCAAAGGTTTGAATAATTAAATTCAGACCTATAGTTTTTTTTAATATAATTTTGGGACTCACAATCCCATTTTTATATTATTTTTCTCTCTTCCTCTCACGTTGCTCGGCATTTTCTCGCAAGGAGGGATTATTTTCTTTTTCTTTAGGTATGTTCTAACTTTCCTGTTTAGATTAGCATTTAAAAATTTATTTAATTACAAAATTTATTTTATAGTTATTTTCTAAATAATATTAGCTTTCTAGTGATATGATTATTTTGTAGGATAGAGTAAATATTTTGATTAGGATTTTTCTATAGGATAGTTAATCTGATGATATGATGGATTAAAAATATAGGTTAAAACTCTTAGGGATATAATAAATATTATAGAATATTTTCTTGAGGTTGAAACTCATGTTTAAAAATTTTTGAGTTAAAATTTAGATCTATATGATTGAATTTATATGCAATCTGAGATGTAGGGATAAACCTATGATTATTAAATATTTATTTAATATGAATAGGTATTTTTGAGGTTATAGAAAGGTGATTTGAGGCTTCAAGATAATTTTAAAATTTTTAATTTATTTTTGGATGAATTTTTAGAATATAGAAGGATGAAATTGTGATACTAGAAGTGATTTAAGGATAAAAAAATAGTTTATTAGGGTATGAGAATTTTAGAAAAGAATTTGGGAAGTTAAATGAGGCATAAATCTTAAATTAGTATTAATATGGATTATAGATCTAAGACTTTCTAACTATTTAAATTAGAGTTATTTATTTTAATATAAAATTAATATATAGTATTGTGAAATAATTATGTAGATTATATTGACAAAGATAGTGGTGAAAACGGAGTTGTGAAGGGGAACTTGTTATTCAAGACACAAGGTAACCATTATTAATGTGTTGTGATAGGTGTGTTTGTAAATGGTTATGTGTTGTTTTGTTGTTTGGGAAAATTATGAATTATTGAAAAATAAATACTGTATATACTTATTTGAAATTATTGCCAAGTGGGTTAAAAATTTATTTTTGTTTATCATGATGAGATATTATTGTTCGGATATATTTCTGTTTGGATATTTGAATGATGCATGACTTGTCAGGGTAATTTAATGTATGGTGTTAATGGGAATTTCTGTTCGGTTAATTATTACCACGTGGTAAGCCCTCATTGGACCCAATAAGTGGCGTGTCGCTTGGTCCAACTCACCTTTGGCCGGGTGATTTGGCATCCGAGCATGGCGAAAGGAGGATATAAGGTGTAGTCATGCAATTAAATACTTGTTTGGTTTGTTTGCAAATATTGTTCGGTTAAATGTTTTGTGTGCCCACTTAGCAATCGCATGATTAGTTACATCCGCATGCATCATTACATATTAATTTTTGGTTACTGGGACTTTTAAGTCTCATTCCCCGTGGTTAACATTTTTACAGGAGCGAGTCCGGTCGAGAAAGCACCAGAGGTGTAACTATGGTGTATGAGACACCATCTTTTACGTTGCCTCTTATTTTAGATTATACAATGTATCTTGTGCCAACTTAGGACATATCTTCTTTGTGAAGCATGTAAACTCTAATCCTTTTTATTAAAAGTATTTATTTGACCAAGAGGATTATGTTTGTCTCTCTTGATTCATGACCTAATTTAAATATCATGCCATGAGGATCCTGACTGTGCCTCATGGTTCTAATTGCTTTTCTGAGATATTTTAAGATCTGTGGTATATTATCTTGGATGTATCATAGTAAGAAAATTTTCTACCATGATAATGGTTTTAATAATTTGCGAAAAATCGGTTTGTATTTTTGAGGGTGTTACATATTTCCTATATGATCCTTTCTATATTTTAATCTTCATTTATTTTGAGTTTATATTTTATATTTGTGTTGCAAAACGAAGCACAAACTTTTGTTAAAAAAACCCTTGAATTATAATTATACATTCTTAAGGCAAGTCCCAAATAGCAGTACACAAGCCTTTTAGAAATTAATTAAAAAAAGAAATTAAATTGAATAGGAATAAAATCTCAGTTTATCCCCCGAGAAATTGGCAAGCATGCCGAGAAGGAAGAATGCCATTTAACACCCTCTTGAATTAAGAGTCTGTCAATTTTATATTAAATATTATCTTATAAAAATACGTATATATTATAAAAAATTGAACTTTAAATCTTATACCCTAACAAAAAATATAAATTAAAATTTAACTTTTAATAATAATATATACATATTTTTATAAAATAATATTTGATATAAAATTAATGAATTTTTATTACGGTAAATTCTTTCGAGAGGCTTAAATATCATCACCCTATCACCCTGCCAAAAAAGTCAGGCAAGATTATGTAGATTTTATATGATTAATATTTTTAAAATTAATAAAAAAACATTAGTAAGCGTGGTACAGATTCACCATATTCACATGCCACTAAATCTAATATTCATGATTATATTCCAAATCAATAAAAACCACAGGGAGAAGATGCGTGGCCTTCAAGCTGTCACGAACACCAGAAAATCAAATCCCATAATTAATTTTATAAGGATAGGAAGTTTAGTTGTTGCAGAAATTTTCGGTAGACAAGACAAGAGAAAACATACACCCTTTCCATTTTTTCAGGCTCTGCTCACAATGGAGGGCAGCCACCTTGCTGCACTTACATTTCACGTATGGCCACCTCACCATGAGCAGGCATCCTTTTTCATTCACTACCTCTGCGTTGAACCCAGTTTCTCTTTATTTATTTTTTTTTTCACTTTCAATCTCAATTATTGAATTTATTTTTAAATGATTGAAATTTAATATTTTATAAAATTATTATTAAAATGTAAAATTTTATAAAAAATTAATATAATAATAATTTTATAAAATATCAAATCTTAAATATTTAAAAATAAATTTAATGATTGAAATGAAAAATAGAGAGAAAATGAAAAGAGGAGAATACGGAGAGAAGTCAACTTTTCCTGTGTAGAGTTTACAAAAGGAAAGTGTCAACTTGAAGCAAAACACAAAAAACTGACGCGTGATCTTTATAGCTTACCCATTGGGTAATTTTATTCCTTCATCCAGTATCACGAGCACCAGCTGGCAGCTGATCAGCCATCAAGAAGGAGCAAAGGGCTAGCCTTGGGACCGTAAACACTAAACACAATGGTGTCCGTGATGTCTTCTCGCATGGTGATCCCTTCCGAACCCACACCCACCGGAATATTTCCGCTCTCCGATTTTGACCAGTCCAAGCCCTCCATCCACATCCCTCTCCTTTTTGTTTACAGGCCCCTTGTCAACGATCAACCCTTCCTCCCGTTTTCCATTCACATTCTCACCAAATCTTTAAGCCAATCCCTGGTTCACTTCTATCCCCTCGCCGGTCACTTACGTGAAAATCTAGGCGGTCGCTTTCAACTCCACTGCAGTGGCAGGGGTGCTCAGCTTTTAGAAGCCGTTTCGCTGGCCAAGTTGGATGAGTTCGGTGACTTCAAGCCCAGCCAAGATGTTGAACAGCTCGTGCCCGAGATTGATTATAATCTTCCTGTGGAGGAGATTCCTCTCTTGGCGGTTCAGCTCACCAAATTCCGATGTGGTGGTCTTAGTCTTGGGGTCTCCTTGTCGCGTGCTGTGGTTGATGGGGCATGTATCGTACATTTTGTGAACTCGTGGGCTAGGATAACTAGAGGAGAGGGTTTAGATTTAAGCTCGACTGAAATGCTACATCGTGATTCAAGTATTTTAGATTCGCGAGTAGAGTCATGTGCGGCGCCGCGTTTTGATCATCCCGAGTTTTCTCCACCACCACTTTGGCTAGGTAGCTTGGTAGATGCAGAGGATGAAGCTGCTGCTGCTATTCTGAAGCTCACAAAAAATCAAGTTCAACAACTGAAAGAAAAGGCCAGTAATTTTGATGCTCCCAGGCGGCCTTATACGAGTTTTGAGGTAATCTCTGGGGTGTTGTGGAGATGTGCCTGCAAGGCGCGGTACGGGGGAAATGGCGACCAACCAACGAGGTTGTCCGCTAGGGTTAACTGTCGAAATCGGTTAAGGCCACCTCTTCATAATTCTTACTTTGGAAACGCAGCGATACCCACTGTGACTAAAACGAGCACGTTTGATGATGTCATCAGCAAGCCTGTGAGTTATGCCGTTGGGGAAATAAGACGAGCATTAGAGAAGGTGACAGATGATTACGCAAGATCAGCTCTTGATTATATAGCAGGTCAGAAGGATGCGAGGCTGCTGAGGAACACCTGTCCTGGAAAATCCAAGGGAAACCCAAATCTAGATATTGTTAGTTGGATGAATTTTCCATTTCAAGATGCTGATTTTGGGTGGGGAAAGCCAGTCTATATGGGACCAGGAAATATTCATAGGGAGGGGAAAGCTTTCTTGATGAGTAATGGGGATGGCGATGGCTTCATGGTAGCCTTATGTTTGCAAGTGTCACATATGGTAGCTTTCAAGAAGTTGTTCTACGAGGAAACAGGGGACATGTTTCGTACTACTTCCAAATTGTGATGGCTGTGAGCCAAATTAAAATGTACAAAGCTCCATCAGTCGCAACTGCGGCTCATAGCCCCTCTCAAAATGGCGACAGTCCTGCTTTGATTAGATGTGATGAGAGTACTGTTGGTGTTGAAAGTTGTAGGCTTGACACAATAAGCTTCAGATCATTATCGTTATATTTCCTATTTCTAGCAAATTTGACTTTTGGCGTCTTGTTAATTAATTATTAGTCATCATGTTCCATTGAACTCAACCTAGTATGCATTTCGAGAATCCATTTCGATTTTTTGAACCCAGGACGAAATAAATTAGGGATTTGAGGCAACAAAGTGCCGTTTCATGATCATAAATAGGAAGATCCTGAAACTGACTAAAGCGCACCTGGAAGTGGAGACGGCGAATGGTGATGGCTTCGTTCTGGCCATTTGTTTGCAGTCACGTCATTTGGATGCACTCAAGAATTTGTTTTATGAGGATATACACAACGAATTAGTGCTTACTTCCAAATTATGATGCTAGCTTGGTTATTACATAAAAAAATAATTTATTTTTTAGAAGAATATATTTTAATTATAATTTTTTTAATTTTTAAATAAGTGATTTTATAATAAGCATCAAGCATATAACATTCAATATGCCTTAGTGTTTTTGTTGGAATGCTTGACAAAATTTATTTGTAATAATTCTTAAAATTTCTTTTATCAAATATAAAATAAAAACAAAATTAAATGACATCAATGCTTTTAAGAACAAGTGTAGCATTATCTTGTTAAAAATAAGTAAATTCTATGACAACTATATCTTCAAGCTACTGAAATAATTAGACTATACATGTGTCAAAGACCATATATAAAATTAAAATGAGAATTCTATCTGGTATTTCAAATCTTCTATAACATGATAACTTAAGAGGACTGAAAATATATAATAATTATATTTTATTAAAAAAAAAATTATGGGAGGTTCTAGTGGTCTCCTGTCTTCACCTACCGGTGTTTTTAGCTCTCAAACTGGTGTGAAAGATGTAAAAGATGTGAAATGTCATGTTTACCAATTTTGGAGCTGTTGGGTCTTGCAGGATACGACCAACGTCCAATAGACACTTGTTCAATCTCGAATAATATTTTATGTTTGTGTTTTCTATTATTACGTTTCAAACTATAGTATGCATGTTATTTGTTATTTTTAAATTGGTTGCCAAATGGCATCATTAGTTTTTTTTTTTTTTGAAGTTAAAAAAAACCTAAAGACATTCTATAATTAATAAGTTATACAATTGTGATCTTAGAGCTTCTTAAATATAGAAACTCAAATTGTAATTAAAACTTCAACCTGGTTTCTTACAATCATCACCGCCACAGCCTCCACCATCACAAACTTGCAGGAGATGAAATTTTTCATTTTGTTAGAATGATCTGTGTTATAATACCTGTATACGCTAACCAATGAATTAAGATTTTTTTTTTCCCCTGAACATCTGGATCTGGGCACGAAGTACGATACAGAGGAATTAACACATTTTGCACACTTGCCTGTAAATAGAATAAGAACAGCTAAACATTGCCAAACTGCCTATAATTAATTAGCAAGCAACCGTCCCAGAAAGACACCAATACATTTTACTGGAATTTCCCCCGCCTGCCTGTCTGTTTCCTTTTATTAGTCTTAAGCTTGTTGCCTTAATTATTTGTTAAACATTTCGTAAAATCCTCTTCCTCCTTACCTTCCTCTTCCCTATGATTCCCACCCTGTTCTAGGCAGAATCTGTAGGGAGCTAACAAAGAAGAAGAATGAGTTCTCCAGTCTTCAAAGAATATAGTCTAGTGCCCAGACCAAACGGCACATTGGAGGTCTGTTTCGATAAGCAGGTCTCCTATGGGTCTGGCTATTGGCTGGAAAATTCCTTACAAGTCACCATGCCTCTGTTTGCCCTGCAACTCGCTTTAATTCTATCATTTAATCGCCTCTGCATCCTTGCCTCAGCCCCATGGCACTTACCTCGTATTGTCACTGATGTTTTTGTAAGTACTTCTTAGCCCGTTTCTAAATTTGAATTCTTCATCTTGATGTTTCATACTTGACATTCTGATATTGCCTTTGGATTTGAAGGCTGGGTTCTTGACAAGTCCAGCTGTTCTGGGGCGATCTACTTTTTATGTCAATCACGTATTCACTTTCAGTAGTCTGATGGCCTTGGAAACCGTGGCAGCTATGACCCTTGTTTATTACATGTTCTTGATCGGCTTGGAGTTTGATTTGAGGCCAATAAGGCGTTCCGGGAACAAGAAGGCTATAATTGTCGCCATTGTTGGTGTAATCTTCTCTATTCCTTATGGGATTGGACTGTACTACCTACTTCTCTCCGACTTGGGACGCAAACACATGCCTCCCCCGGTAACTGGAACGAGACATTTCATTGGTGCTATGATATGGGGAATCACCCTTTCATGCAGCGAGTTCCCTGAGATTGCGAGGATTCTCACGAGCCTCAAGCTCGTTCTCAACGAGAATGGACAGTTGGCTTTAACCTCTGCTCTCATTAATGACGTCTTCTCTTGGATCTTCCTTGTAATATCCATATCAGCACTCCATGCAGCTTCAGGAGCATCCATCGTCTCTGCCTTCGTCTTTCTGTTGATAAGCGTCTACGCGGTTCATCCTCTTGCCAAGTGGCTTTTCCAGAAGGTTAGCACAAAGGACAGAGATTTGATCGACGCTCAAGTCGTATGTCTCCTGCATATGGTTTTGCTCTTTGGATTCGTCGCCGATGGATTGGGAGCTCATTCCATCACAGGGGCCTACATTTTGGGAACTATAACCCCAAAGGGTATCATCTCAAAGGCCGTTCAGGAGAAAGTGCTTGATTTTGTGACAGCATTCATGATGCCAGTCTTCTTTGCGGTTCTTGCGGAGAGAATCCATGTCGAAGACTTTGCCTTGGAAATTCATTGGACAAGCGTTGTGGTGGTTGTTTTGTTGGCTTTCATGGCCAAGATTTTGTCCACTCTCGCTGTCTATATGCTCTACAGGTTGCCTCTCAAGGAAGGCTTCTCTATAGGACTACTCATGAATACCAAAGGAATAGTCTCAATCATCATCCTTACCACCGGCAGGGACATGCTGGTAAGCCAATCTAACAACCTATCATAGTCAAATCAAATTAATTTGTTCCAACACGGGAGCTATCCTGTCTGTCCCAAGCTTCACATTCAAAGGGGGGTGTGTGTGTAATATGATGCAGGCTCTGAATGACCAAACATTTGGGGTAATGATACTGATATGCTGGATAATGACGATTCCAGTGGGGCCTGTCTTGGCCGCCATAAGCAAATTCACGAATTCGGATATTGGAAGTAGCCTGCGTAGGACCATGCAAGGGGCAAGACCGGACATCCCGCTCAGAGTGCTGGCATGTGTCCACACATCACACGACGCCAATGTCATTCTCAGTCTGTTGAAGGCTTCGAACCCAAATGTTAAATCCCCTATCCAGGTTTTCGCTGTAGAGCTTGTGAAGATAACAAACCGCCCAACCACAGCACTAATCCTAGATGATGCTTCTAAGCAAGTAACGGAATCCAAATCCAAAAAAGATCTCTTGCGAGGTCTCAATCTAGACGGCAACAACACACAGACGGGGGATAACCTTGAGTGCTTCGAAAACCTGAGCCAAGCTATATTCGCTGAGAAGTTAAGGGTCGTATCTTCTTACAACACCATGCACAAAGACATCCTTCATTTAGCGAAGCAAAGAGGAGTGACACTCATACTAACCACACTGTACAAACAACCAACATACGATGGTCTAGGTGCAGGCACAGCCACAGCCAGAGCAGCAAACATTGTGAACAGAGAATCTTCAAGCAAGGACGAGAAAAAAGTGGTGCTCGAGAATCTAGTGAAGGAACCACCATGCTGTTTGGGGATATTCATAGATCGAGGGCTCGGTCAAAAGCGAGGCAAAGAGCGAAAACTGGCAATGTTCTACGTTGGTGGAGCGGATGACCGTGAAGCATTGTCGTACGCATGGAGGATGTGCAGGCACCCAAACACAAAATTAACAGTGGTGAGGATTATTTGGGACAACCCCAGTGACGAATTTGATCAAACAGATGAAGAGTACATCAGATTTTTCAAATTCCAAACAAGGGACATGGGGGGATCGGTGAAGTATCTAGAGAAAGTGGTGAGAGACGAGAAGGAAACGTTGGCGTTACTGAACAGTGTGGGCGATAATGGGTATGATTTGTGCATAACGGGGAGAGGGCAAGGAAGGAGGATGTCGCTGGCACAAACGCTTGACCCTGTGCTGGAGGAGCCGGCGTTGGGACCGCTCGGCGATACGTTGGCGGATTTGAATTCTGCGGCGGAGACTTCAATTTTGATATTTCAGACGCAAGCTAGCGGTGATGGGAATTCCAATCCAGCGTCCACTGAGTATGCTTATTTTGAAGGACATGGTGACCTGATGCTGCGTGGAGGCCGTATGACATGGCGAGCTTCTGAGTCTGATTGACCATCTCTCTCTTTCGCTTTCTGTTCACTTATCATGGATACACTGTCACTGACTGTCAGCAATCTCGCGGCCATTAGACCAGGAGGAAGAAGGAAATGAAAAACAATGCAAGTTGTCTGAGGCTGAAACTCGGATTATCTGCCCATGAAGGCAAAACTACTTTTCTGCAGTCCATTTTGTTTTTACGGACATCAATATTTATTGTGTACTAGTTCTATTTTCTATATATTTATTAAGTTAATAGAAAATTTAAACTAGAACACAAATTTGAAAATGTTTGTTTAAAAATAATGTTGATTTTTATTTTAAAATTAATAGTAATCCCTGCTAATAAAAAGTGTGAATCTATTTTTTTTTATAAATTTGCATTATATACTAAAAGTTGAAAATGAAACCAACGTACCAATCCCAACAATCCAAACCTATTTAGGGACTTACGAATAGTGATTAATAATACCACATCACAGAAATCTGTTCACACATGTACACACAAAATAGTATATGTGTGTGTGGTGTTCTGCTGTATAGTTACACTTCCTCTTATCCCATTTCTAAGATAAAAAGAGAAACATTTTGATTATCCTATTTATAAATTACATTATTAAATTTTTATTGTAATTTTTTTATTTTTAAAAAACATATTATTAAAGTATATATATTTAATAGTGATAAAGTTAAAAATTTATTAAATTATTCGATAAAATTAATAAATTTTAAAATTTCTCTTGATCCCAATAAAATATGTTAAAAATTATTTATAAATAAGATTAAAAAAATGCATGTAAAATAAACTGAAATATTTTTAAGTTAAAATATCTTCCGGCCTCGTTCGCAAGTACGTACACACAACACAATCAGGTTTTTGTGGACACTGAACGCGTGCTTCGTCCAAAAAATAAGAAAAGGACACTGAACGAGTGCATGTAAAGGGCTGTAAAATTTACTGAACCATTAGACGCAATTATGGCTACTCTGTTCAGCGTTTTGGCTATTTATTCCCAGCGCATAATTTTTTTTTTTTTTGTGCCAAATTCCCAACACATGATTATTCCCAACAAATTCAATTCCTGTCATTCAACAATAACTATCCCCCTTTTTGGCTTAATTTCCACTTATAAACTAAATGGCGTTTAATTTTCTGTTGAAACGGGTGAAATCTTAACCGCCAAAAAATTAGTCACTCAAACTAGTTTGCATGCAAAAAAAGAGACTGTACATTTAAGTTAAATTAGTCAAAAGTGAATTTGAGTTAATGTGAGAAATTTTACATTAAATAAAATTAGTTTTAATAAGTAATATATAATAAAAAAAGATATATAAACTTAAATTTTAAATTTTAAGTTAAGATACAATATATTTCATCATTCTTTATCCATTTGTCCTTTCCCTATTTTTGAGTGGCCACTTTCCAATCTTAATTAATAAGTATGCATGCAATAATACAAAGTAACCAAAGTAGTCATTTTCCGAGAGAACAACTTCAGATCCACGTAATGTAACAGTTGGATTGCATTTTCGTTGTTTTAGCTTGAAATTAAAAAAAAAAAAAATTAGTCATTGACCTGCTACAACATAGAGATGTAATTAAATTTAACATGCTCCTCTTTTCATCATCTAATCTTAATGAAAAGGCCAAATATCATATCTGGAATGAAAAGTGAGCTTGCCGTTAAATAAAAAAGTTCAAGTACCTCACCCAAATCCAACAAAAATAAATAGAGCAGAAGAAGGTCAAGTTCAAACTCACTAGATTCATACGTACGCTTGCCGTTAAATAAAAAAGAACTTAATCCTAATTAATTAGTTTCTTGCCTTATTTATAGCAAACCACTCCAGAAAAAGCAAGGTTAAAAAAAGAGGACAGAGAGATTTACTCCAATAGTTAAAACTTAAAAAAAAAAAAAACAAATAAAAGAGCGTGCTCTTCGCCATGTGTCACCACTCCATTATGTGTCCGTCTGCAATGGGGATCCCACTCTCGAGCTTACATGCAACAAATTAACGCCAAGGATATTCACGTTCTGGGAATTGGAAGGCCTGGTTTATGGTTAACCAGCGCCTTGCCTCCCCCATCATTCCCTCATCACATTCCCTATAGCTTTCTTCCCAGAAAACAGAATTAAAACAAAAAATCAATACTAGAACCTTGGCATTGAGTTTCTCATCCCTCTTCTACAATGAACGACCTTCTATCGGTAATCATTTATTCTCCCAACTTTTCGTTCCGGGTTCTCATGCATCTCGTATGCTTCTTCTTCTTCTTCTTGCCTTTTTTTTTTTTGGATTTATTGTTCTAGTGTCATTTCGGCCTAGTTTTCTACGTGGGGCGATGTGAATTCAGCTGTATTGACCTTTCTGCCTTAGCTTCTGTTTGTTTACAAAAGAAAATGTTGGAAACAAAAGATTTTTGGGGGCTGTGACTGCTGGACAGTTGATCGTCGTCGGACCTCTCGTTTGGGTTGTGTTTTTTGTCCTTAGCCGATCGTAAGATTAGAAGGCATGCTTCCTCGTACAAAAACGGGCATTGAGAACTTCCCTCTCTGGACTTGGATGTTCGATCAATTAAAAGTTTCAGAAATAGAATCAAGCATTTTCCAGAATGATTTGCTATGTGAATAAGCTGTTCTAAGTAGTTAGCGTCATCGGTATATGCTTCCTCTACGCTATATATATACTTGCTCCATAGTCCATATTAACATAAAAGCAATGAAGTTTTACGTGGGCATGCTTTATGGAATTTATAATTTACTCAGTTTAAGTCTGATTCGTCAACAATCCCTGCAGGAATATATAAAACGAAATTTAAATAGGATTCTTCCGTAGACCCATCGAAATGTTTCAAATAGAATTGAGGTTATAGGAACACATAACTTTCAAAGATTAAAGTAATTCATATATAAAGTCATAACCAGTACTTGGCCTCCGCCTAACAGCTTAAAACTTTATGAAGTGTAGTTGAATCATGTTGACCAGGTGGTGTTTATGAGTTTTAATTCTTGGCATGATCGATAGAAATGTTGATGAAACCTCCCGTGTTTTTTTTCCAGTACCAAGGATTACAGTTTAGTCAAATATATTAATTTTAATTGCTATCTTCACACAGGAATCGTTTGAAATCCCTCGTGGGCATGGAAATAGAGACGTCGAGTTAGGGGCATATCTACGGACTTCAGGAGAACTGGGTTTGGATACTTTCTTCAAAAAGGTATTTAATTAATATCTTTTTATGCCTGAAAAAAATGTGGTTTATCTCATCACATTCTCTCACTTTCAATTCTTCTGCTTTAATGAGTTCATCTTGTGCATTTTGTGCGTGATTTCAAATCCACGCTCTTCTTGCTTTCATGCTAGTCTCAAATTCGATGTACCAATGTGGCTATGTGTTGTGTTCTCCAGGTTCAAGAGCTTGATAAGCAATTTGAGAGGCTGGGTAAGCTTCTCAGGCAGCTCCAGGTATAGATGTTGTTGTCTTGCGTATTTAATGATCGGTTGCTTCCAAAACTCTTCACAAACAAGTTTTGAACATGTAAACTGCCAAGCATTTGGAGGATGTACATAATGAATCATTCAATTTGATTCTTCTCAACTTTAGATCTCTAATATGTTTGCATCAATAAAACACGATACACGAATAAGTGAGTTATGAAGGCTTTTCTTTTCGCCCGAGGATGATAGGCTCCCTCCAGTTGACACGCTGGAGGGGCTATCCGGTTTCCTCATAAAACCTGGCAGATAGTGGCAACTTAAACTTGATGTTCCTGATATTTATCAACTTAAACAACATCAATAGTGAAATCTATGCATGAAGTTGGAATGTGGCTTGAGTTTTTGGAAGGATCACACAAAGTAAAAGGTTCGTTTGCAATTGGTGAGGAAAATTTACAAAGATATCCAAGTCTAAGAATGAAAGAAGAAAAGGGGAGAGGGATGACAAGATTAAGAAAACCTGTATCAGAAGAATGTAGTGAAACAGAATGACTTGTGCTGTCTTTTTAATCTCTGTCAAAAAAAAAAAAAAAAAGAGGTTGCAGTTGAAGTAACTTTCACGGCCTCTGCAATTGCAATCCAGTATCTGCTTTGTCAGTGTCCCTGAATTTTTTTCTTTTTTACTGTATCTCCGTAAGATTTTAATCACCTCCTTCACATATAAATTGGAAAATGAATTTTTTTTTTATGTCTTGAAAATGAAAAAGCTGGTTGGTTTTGCAGAAACCTCAATGATCTGTTTTATGAGCTTGAAATGTGTTCTTTCATCATTTTAATGCAAACTTTATTTGCAGGATGCTCACGAGGAGTCCAAGGCAGTGACCAAAGCTCCTTCCATGAAGGGTTAGTCATTCTTTTCTATGGAGGAAAAGAATAAATAATGTCAAACAAGATTGTCGTTGAGAAATGAATAATCTTCCTGTTGTAATATTGTTAATTGTAATTTAGAAATGAAAATGCTTTGTGAGGGTAGGAGCTGCTCTAGATCTTAAAATGCACTTGGTATAGGGACACATCTTAAGATTGATGACGTGGTATGATAAATTATGACAGTGAATGTAAGACTTTACAGCTGCCGTGGGCTCAGCAATCATGTTTGACTCCTTCATGCTCTGCAGATATTAAGCAGAGAATGGAGAAAGATGTTGATGAAGTTAAGAAAATTGCCCATCACATAAAAACAAGAATTGAAGAATTGGACAGAGAAGTGAGCGCATGCTGCTTATTTTTCAGTTGTATTTTCAATACCTAGCGTCTACATAATTAAGAACTCCCTCACCTCCTCCTTTACTCAATTATTTGTCGTAGAACTTGGAAAATAGGCAAAAGCGTGGATGTGGAAAAGGAACAGGCATCGACAGGTCAAGGATAGCAACCACCATGTGAGTAAAGTAATGATTATTATGGCAACCCAGACGACTTTTTTTTTTTGGGGGGGGGAGAGGGGGTGTGGAGGGGAGGGGAAGAAAACTGCATCTCTAAACCTTGCATCTATTGAAGCTAAAAGAAGACTCTACACAATGAAAAGAGAACCTTTTGCTGCACAATAATGTCCAAAGGATTGACTTTTGGGCTTTGGAATGATGGACTTCACTTGATGATCTTTCGACCACTTTTTTTGTTACTATGTTGCAGTGCCTTAAAAAAGAAATTGAAGGACAAGATGGATGAATTTCAGGTTGGCTGACCTTATATTTGGTGTGACATATTGTCCTTTTAATATCATAATCTCAATTAGTCTTGCTTGAAAAAGTGCAGCGGCTGAGGGAAATCATACATCAAGAATATCGTGAGGTTGTAGAGAGACGTGTTTATACAGGTTCGAGCACCTGTTACTCATTGATTTAAAATTCTGCGATTTAATGGCTTGGATTTTCCATGATAAAGTATATCTATTGTGACACATGATGTTTTGTGAATGTCAGTGACGGGCACAAGAGCTGATGAGGAGGTTTTTATATGTCTGAATTCTTATACATTTGAAGAAAATGGCTCGTAGAAGTTTTCTTCTAATTTTTTAACCATGTACAGACAATTGACAGATTAATTGAAACCGGAGATAGTGAACAGATTTTCCAGAATGCAATCAGGGAACACGGAAGAGGCCAGGTTTGTCGCGGCTCTAACATGCATTTTTCAAATTTTTTTTTTTCCTTTGGGGCGGGGAGATATATGAGGGATGTTGTTGATGTTCCTTGAGCAATAGGTTTGTTGACTTGCAGAGTGAAGCAATTTCACTCTGTCAAACCTCTCGTACATGTTGATTATCTTTGCAGATACTGGACACACTGGCAGAAATTCAGGAACGGCACGAAGCAGCTAGAGACGTTGAGAGGAAGCTTCTTGAATTGCAGCAAGTATATATAGCCTACTTGATTGATTAAACATTGTAGCTCAGCTGATCAGAAACAGACTGGAAATAACAACTAACTTGTGTTTGCAGGTATATCTGGATTTGGCGGTGTTGGTTGATTCACAGGGTGACATTCTTAACAACATAGAATCCCAGGTACTTGGAGAACTTCCTTAAATAAGTGAAGCAGTTCATACTTAATACTGTATCTAACAAATAATTATGGTGGGATTGTCCTGTTGTTGATTTTAGCTTCCGCTAATGTTGGATCTAGGTATCAACTGCAGTAGATCACGTACAGCAAGGCAATAATGCACTTGTGAAGGCAAAGAAGGCACAGAAGAATTCGAGAAAATGGATGTGCATTGCTATCATAATACTTCTTCTTGTTGTTGTCATTGTTCTTACTTCAGTCCTCAGACCATGGAGTAACAGAAAGGGGGCCTAGTCACCAGTTGCTTGTGTATCAACTTGTGGATACTAAAACTAATGAGTACTTTTTCCCCTTGATTGTCATGTATCAAGTTCTCATATAGCGATTTTATATGTTGATATTGAGAATCTCAGCCTACATATATAAATCTTCATTCAAAATTATCAGCAAAATTTGAGACCTCTATTTTTTTATGCAACGATAGATTGTAAATTGGATGGGTTTTTTCCATCATCTCTTTTCTTGTAGTATCAATGTTTTGAAGTTCTTCCAGGTTTTAGCTTGACAGTTGACATTAAGCTAATTTTGCTTCTGCCACACGAGGTTAATTCTAAATTTGATGGAGTAATTATTGATTACTTACTTGGTTCCTCTCATAATTAATGTCAAACGAAGAATTCTTTTTAAATTGGAAGATAATATTTAGATTATTGAAAAAAATAATGTGTGAATGAAGCCCACCCCACTGCCAGAAGCAAAAGATATCACTTTACGCACTGTGCGAGATTTTGTTCACACGGAGGCATTATTAAGACTTGGGATATGAAATGAACTTTAATTCAAAAGGCAACAAAACTCTCCACCACAACTTCAAATTTAAAAGAGTATTTCCACAACAATATTAGATCTCAAACAATGCTTTAATTATAAGTTATAACTTGTTTTGTTACACTTTAAGAACATATAGGTTGCAACTCGCAATTGCATTGCCTCTTTTTTTTTTTTAAATGCGGGACATGTAAAGAGACAGCCAAGGATGCGCGTGATTCTTACAAATAATCTATTTATTAATTCTTTACATAAACAATCCTTTTAAGGCGTGTAGATAATTGCATATTTGCATGGCCACTTATGTTTTTGCTTTCGCCGGTGAGTAATACACACGCGCGCGCATAATATATATATATATATATATATAAAGTGGAGTAACCGTAAGAAAACGAATTGTATGATCTCGAATGTACTTGAAATAGTAAGTTTAATGGCGGAAAAAAGAAACAGTAAATTCACTATGACAGGGATTATTGTTTTCTTTGATTGGCCGTCAAGGGATTATTGTTGTTGTTGTTGTTGTTACAGAAACACAGGTAACTTCGTTTATATAAAACAGTCATGCGTTTTGTCTGATAAAATATGTATTAGGAATTATTAGAAAAACTAATTCGCCCTCGTAACAAATAACAAAAACAAAAACAAAAAACAACCAGTATCATTTCGGAAGCTTGCTTTGGTAGCTTGGCCTTAGATTCTTTCGTTTTTATTCGCACCTACAAGGATTTTTTTGTTGTTATTTTTTAATTGTATTAAGGTGTATTCCTATTAAAAATGAGGGAAAACACTGTGATAGGTTCCAATAGTTTCATCTCATTTTGGCTTTAGTCCTGAAATTTGTTTTTGTTGTTCCCAGTCCCTATAATTTCATGTCATTTTGGTTTTAATTCCTAAAGTTTGTTTTCGTTATTCCTAGTTCTTATAATTTTTGCCGTCCAAAACTTTAGTCCCTCCCATCATTAACCTTGTCAAAAATACTGAGGTATAATTAACACCATTAATTATTGTGTAGAGATGTTATTCTTATACTTAGTTGGCACATACTTACAATTAAGAAACCTTACACAGTCAGTTGTCGTGGCGTCTCCTTTGCTTGGCTGTCCTCTCTGCATCTCCTCCCAAGTCACTAGCCATATCTTCTCCTTGTGTCTTCCAATCAAAACAATCGAGCGTTCGTTTTTGAAGCAGTCCTTCGTTCATGTTTGTAATTTATCTTATGGGTGGGCGAAAGTAAAAACTCAATGACTAATAACTGATATTGCCAACTAAACATAATAATAACACTTCTGCATAATAACTAATAGTGTTAATTACACCTCAAGATTTTTAGGTGTAATTAGGGACTAAAACAAATTTTAGGGACTAAAACAAATTTTAGGGACTAAAACCAAAATGACAAGAAACTATAGGGACCAAGAGCAATGAAAACAAATTTCAGAGACTAAAACCAAAACGACATGAATCTATAAAAACTAGAAACAACAAAAATAAACTTTAAGGATTAAAACCAAAAAGACATGAAAACTATAGGGAGTTATCATAGTGTTTTCCCTAAAAATAATTATGTTTAATGCATAGTAGAATATCGAATATTAGATATAAGGGATAAAAAGTACAAATCTACCATTGAAGTATTTGTTGCTCACAATAAGTGCACGGGTCATAGTAAGTAATATAAGATGAGTGAAGTATCGTTCCCTTGAGGATTTATTTAAAAACAATGATCAAGTAAAAGATTAAGCAAATTCGATCAAGTTGAGCTATATATAACTAGGTAAAAATGATTTTGCAAATGAAACTAATACTAAAAAAAAAAAAAAATGATCAATTCACAAATTTCAAACACAAAATGAGACTTAGGATTATTTATTTCCCTTGCATTTCATAACATTAAAATTATCTTCTCTTATAAATGCTTTTAATGAAAACAAGTGTTAACCTAAGGTTCTAAAAATACTTGGACAAGCTCTCTCAAGTCATGAACAAGTGTTTAATCAAATTATTTGCCCAATCTCTTGTTACAATTAATAAAATTCAATTTTAAACACCAACCCTAATGTGGCTATGCAAAGCTAGCAAGTATATCTCTATCTTACTGGCAAAACCATCCATTTAACATACAAACATCAAATTCTTGCACTATTTTACCCAAATTCTACACTCAACCTAGCCTTCTCAAGCATTAATTAAGTGAATCCAATATCTAAATGGTGGCCAATCACTTAGAAGTATTAAGAAAAGAATAAAATAAATACATATATATCATTAATCACAAAAAGAGAGGAGGAACATAGTGTCAATCCATACAAGGGTTCCAAATAATTTTAGAACAAAGAGTTTAGCTACTCGTAAGCATCTACAAGCTATAAATATATAAAATAAGTGGATTTATTTCAGATTACAAAAGAGAAAAGGGAAGAGAAATAGAAAAACCAAAAAATAAGAGTTCTAAATGTCTTTAAAACTTCAATCTCTTGATCCTAACTCTTTCAATGCCCAAACCTTAGCACAACCAAGCTCCAAATGTGTCTAAAAGTCTAAAGAACGCATTTTAGGTCGAGCTCTCAGCATATATATGTCCTAGCTAATCAATTTCTAATAAATGAAATGCAGCGTTTTTTTGACAGCAGTGAAAGTCATGAACAAAAGTCATGACTTTGGCAGTTTTACACTGTTTTTGCAATTAACGAAAATTATTCATTTTGTGCTTGATTTCATCATCCAAAAGCCTTCCAAAAATATCTACAAAACTTCACAAATGCTTCTAATGAAAACTTCAACCAAAATAACATGAAATTAGGCCAAAAATATTAAATCAAAGCCAAGAATACAAACATAAAATAAAATGCACATTTTCCTAATTTGGGCAATAAAAACATATACAATTGAGCCAAAATGGATTAAAATCTAAGAAAAATGTGATAAAATAACATAAAATTCTAAAGGTTAACAGTATTGCACGGGGGCGTCTAGTATTCTAGAGTAATGAAAAATGCAATATTGCCCCCCAATTTTCAAAAATAGAGTAATGTTGCTTGATTTTGATAAAATCAAATGGTTGGTCATGAGAGGGATTATTTTAACTTGATAAAGTCGAGCTGGTTGCCACATTATTTTTCCCTTTGGTTAAAACATAGATTTATAACATAAAAAAAAATTCTCTAGAGAAAGCTCCTTGAGTCATTAACCCTCGTCTATCACTATTGGGATTGACTCCACTCCACCTCAAATAGTCATCCTCCCTTAAGCAAATGACTTCACCTCACCCCATTAGTTCACCTCTTGGGCTAATAACCTCACTCATTAAATTTTCTCATGTCATTACCATTATCTTTTGCTCCAACCATGACCTAAAGCTTCACTTCTTGACATCCACTTAGATCTCAGGGACTAGGTGTTGATTGGGTGCAAGAAGGTGCGTGACCCCTTAGATTTCCCTTGAAATGATAGGGGTTTTACTAGCTTGAGGGTTTTCTTGACACATTTGATAATGAGAGGTGAGGTAGAGCTAGAGCAAGAAGAAAGTGAGCGCAATAATAAGACTGACAAGGATGATGGAGAAAAAAAGCACTAAGCAAGAAGGGTATAGAAGAGAAATTATTGAAAGCACCAGATTTGGAGATGATAGATGGTGGAAGAAATGACCTCTTGGGTATTTTATATTTTATACTTGATGTATGTGAATTGGTGGATTAAACCTTTTGATTTGGGCTTGAATCTTTTGTTGCTTCCACCCAATGATATTGTTAATCTTCTTTTTTGCTTAATGTTCTTCTCGAGCTTTTGCAAGAGCTTCTGAGTTTAGATGCCACATAGGCATTGCCACCAAAGCAAAACAAAAAAAATTGAGATAAATGCCACATAAGTGTAGTTAGGTCAGCCAACAATCAATCGTCTGAGTTCGTCAAAATCAAGCAAAATTGCTTTTTTTTTAGAAGATTGGGGTAAAATTGCACTTTTCGTTATTTTAAAATATTGACGACCCTCAGACAATACTTTTGGAATAGATTTGCACCTTTACCCTAAATATAAACACCTTTCCTAATCAAAATTCAAACTTTAATTTTTCATGTCTTTCTAATAAAAAATGAAAAATAAATAACAAGTCGAAATGGTTGATAAAAACTAGGAAAATTATATAGAGGTCCTATAGATTAATTCTAATTACCAAAAAAGTCCCATGAAATGTAATAATAACTTTGAGATCTCATGGGCTTTGATTATAAATAAGTTATGGGCTGCATTTACCAAACTCCCCCTATTTACAAAAAAAAAAAAAAAACTCTTCCCATCGTGGGTTTTCAACCGTGGTGATGGACACTAATTGCTGACCACTTCAAGTCTTTCTTCTAGCGACGGCGCCGGGGACAAATTCTTCGTTGATTTGCAGACATAAATAATGGAGCTCATGGGAATTAAGAAATTTCAGCTAGTCAGAGTCCTCATTTATGGACTTCTGATGATCACTTATCCCAGATCTATTGGAGATTAATTAATCTAGCAAATAGAGAAAGTGGGTACATACATCAAAACTTTTCCACCACTTTCTTGCAACCTTTCACATACAGTTCCTCCTATTCTTCAAGATCCCCTGCGCTGAAAGTATAGCTTTTTTGAAATGATCTAGAGCCCGAGG